TAGAAATGAGGGGTGGCTTGCATGAGAATGAGTGTAATTAAAAACCAATCTGTTTTATCCCGTGGCAATGAAACTGAAATAAAGATGCTTCTGTGTGTGTGTGTGTGTGTGTGTGTGTGTGTGTGTGTGAGGACACAGATGGATGCAGACCTGTCTTTATAGTTGCAAGAGCAAGAAACAACTGCAGAAAAGAAAAATACAACTGGGCTCTGCTTTTTAAAGGTTTCTGCTCATCTTTTTGTTGTCTGTACAGTACAAACATAGTGGTGGACTTCTGGGGGGAGAGGGGAGGATGGGGGAACAGACATTGATAATACTGGGTGGGGTGGGGGTGGGAGTTTTAAAATCAACACAGAGACCGAAAGAGAGACTGAGAGGAGAAGAATCAGATGGACACACTGACAAAAAAGCAAAAGCATCAAGGAAAGGACGAGGAAGGTGAGAACAGCCTGGAGGCGCTGTGAGGAGAGAGCCACGGTACCCACGCGTGTCCACAGAAGCATCATTACCAGGAGGCGCTGCCCAGGCTTCTGCCATCACACTACTGGCAGTGAATTCCAGCCAACTCTGGCCTTATCAGCACAACACATCTGTATCTCTGGCCAGTTTGTCACAGCGCTGCTCCTTCATCACTCCTCTGTCGTTTATGCTCAGTTCCTCTCCTTCGGCCTGTCTCTGCTCTCTCTTTGTCTCTTTCTCGCTCTCTGTGTGAGGAGGCAGCTGTGGGCCCGGGGTCGTGACTCTGTCGGGCTCTTTGGTGGGGTTGGGGTGCGGAGGTGTCGCTCCGCCTAAAGGTGTGAATAGCTTTACGCTGCTTGGCTGCTTCCTTTGGCTCTAAATTCGAGGGGCTGAGGTCGGCTCACACACTGGGCAAAGAAACGAAATTTTAAAAAGTCAAACAGCAACCAAACCAGCATATCAGTAGAGTAGTTGTGATCCAGCCCACTCAGCTGGCCCTCTTTAGCTTCACTATAATGTCCTTCTGCTTCTTTGCTGCCACTCGAAAATCTCTGCGAGTCATTTCATGTAAAGGTTAAAGGTGGACGGGAAACTGATGCTTCAGGATTCCTGCGTCATGCCTTTAATCCGCTGTGTCACACCCTGAACCAGCGCTGAGGTGTGTGTGCGTTATAGCCTTACTTGAATAAAGTTGTCTAATTTGATGTGATAGGCTTTTCCCCCCCGTCTGAATCGCACAAACGATGTAGTTTAAAGTAAGTTAGAGAAGTAAGTGGCTCGTCCCAGCGTCACGTGGACATTAACAGTGTAGATATTAAGCACATCCATGCCTTACACAGCCCACTGCACCTCCACATTAAACATGTGGTCCCGATGAATGTGTTTGCTGACCTTTAATGAGCTCGTTACCCATCACTACCACTTTGCACTCGCGTGGCCGGACCGTGATTCTCACACTGATCATGTGAAGTCTTAAAGACTCTGAATGTGGCGTGTTTTTTGGTTTTCTTGTTCTGCTTTGTGCGCTGCTCCCTCAGCTCCTCCTGCTTTCTCAGTGCTATAGCATTTCATTTGGGTGTTTTATAATTCTTAATAACAATAATGTGTTTGACTGAATGAACCCGCAGGGTTTGGATTGTGTCTTTTAAGTCTTAATTCTGGGTTTTGTGTGGGGCCCTGGTGCTCTGTGGACGGGGTCGGCTGTGTTTTTGGACTCTTATTGCTTCCACATGCTGCAGAGAAGAGCGTGTACACATTTTTAAAAAGTCTTTGAATAGGTGGAATAAAAATGGGAATCTGCACACTGTGTCCCTCATACTTATTAAAGCAATGATATGTTGTGGCTGTTGTGTGTTTAAAGGTAGAGCTGCAGTGATTGGTTAAAAACACTGAAGCACTACAGCCATTAAAAAAACAAACACTTTGAAGTTGAGCTGAGCTCCCCTTCGAGGTCATCTTGTCGTGTACCTCAGTCCCTGGAGGTGCTCTTCTGACCACTTGTATGTGGTCATATACATGTGGTGATGAGAGGTAATGGTGATCATCTGAAGGAGGACGGTAAACAACGTGAGCTGAGGCTCGTGCCGCCGCTCACCTTAGAAGCGTTTTGGCCGTGCAGACTTTGGGAGCTGTCTAAAAACAGCAGCTGGGTAGAAATGAGTGGAGGTAAACCTCATCCTGGAGCAGGAGCTCTGCAACACAGTCATCTTCTTTGTGTTCTGACCAAAAAATTACTATATTCAGCAGACCTGGTATATTAAAAATGGCTTTTACTTGCAGCACGGGACTTGAGGTTTGTTTCATTTTTTTTTTAATTGAACTGGGAGTTATCAACACAGTGTGCAGATCTTTTCCCCCTTTCTCCTTTTCAGACAGCATTTCAAACCCAGTACTTTTTTCAGTGTGATGCAGAAAATTTACCCTTCAACACAATCCATCCAGTCTGCAGCTGTTGACTGTGGCGTATGCAGCTGTGCTACGCACTCGTTTTGTTGCTTGGTGATGGGGTTGTTTTTTTCTCGCTCCAGGGAATAGCTCGCCAAAGTATAGATGTTTCCAGTTTCGCATGCTCTCTGGGGTCATTCTTGGAATGCACAGTAGGAAACTGACTTAAGTAGACGAGGCAAATTAAAACAAATACACTATAAAGTTTGTTAAAACACCTCACCAGTTTTAATATCTATCTATATATATTAAAAAAATAGGTTTTAAGAGCAGACTAGTCCTTTAACTATAGACCACAAGCTGGATTGTGACTATACTTGACACAAAGCAGCCTTTATGTTAAGGTTGAGCTTTTCATGATTTCCCGTCACCACCGTGTGAATGTGGCACCTCTTTCCAGACCAGCAGATTCCACATCCCTGTCCCAGATCTCCAAGGCTCTGTAACATGCTGGCACGATAGGTCTGCGTAGCCTTGTTATTTACTACTGAATCCTCAACTCTGTACAGACGCTGAGAAAACGATCGCATGGAACCTTGTTACTGTAATAATAACCTATACAGTATATAATATTTAATTTTTTTGATAACTTGCATCAATGAAAACCTACTTACAACAAGAGACGGACTTACAAGACTTCCTGTTTTTCTTTTTCTTTGGAGCACATGGTATCTAAGGACCTTTGTTTCTTGTCTGTTTTGGTTTATTTGTTTCCTTGTAGAATAGAAAGGTTGTTTCTTCATGTTTCCATTTGGTTTTTACACTTGTGGGGTTTTGTGTCTTTTACTGTAGGGAGAAGAATATGATGATATCGTGTTTAGGATAGACGAGATTAACGCTTACGCTAATAAGTGGCAATGACATGGAACATTTCAGTGATAGCTAGCTGGTGTGAGGATACTCAAGAAATTGTGAACGAACAGTGTCTGGTTTACACTGAGCGATAAGCAGTGATGAATCCTGGGATATGAAGTTTCATGAGTGTACATTGAAGGGCTTGGTGGTGATGCAGGCTCTAGAGACCCCTTTCAGATCTGGGACGTTGCAAAGCTCTTCCAGCTTGGTACTCCGAGTCCTCCGCAGTCTGTAAAAGGCTAACCTCCTTTACTAACAGTGAAGGAGCGATCGGGTTGAGATGATAACAGCTGACTAGTGAACGCGCCTCTAGAGCCTGACCTCCACCTCTGAGAAATTAAAAGGATTCTCTGTGTTGCCTTGTTAATATTAATTGTGGACACATAATTTTATAAATGACAAAGACGTGGAAATAAAGATTATTTATCTTGTTATTTATTCAGAGGCTGTGGGTTTTTTGTTTAAATGGATGATTGTCAGTGCACCCCCCCCCCCCCCCCAACACAGGGGACAGTCTTCCATATGTAAATAAAAGCACGAGGCAATAATGAGCAGATGATTTGAATACTATAGCTGTGTCTCACTTCAGGGGCTGCATCCTTCGGTGGACCCGGCCCACGTGGACCGTGAAGGCCGGAAGTGCGAGGTTGTGAGATGGGACGGTCTAACCTTCACCGCTGTCTCAGTGGAGTTTAATAAACTCAGCCGTCTGCTCCTTGCTATCTAAAATGTAACAGGACACCAGAGTAAACTCTTGACCATCAGATTTACTCAGGAACAAATCAAACACTGAAAAATATCATGTTTGTGCCGGGAGGCCGCTGTTCTCGCCGGCTCCAGTGAGCCTTGAACCCCAGTCAGCTATCGAGCTGGTGGGTAACAGACGTCTCCGAAAACATCGGAGCGCTTTTGCAAATATGTGATGTCTTGATAAACTGAGCAGATATTTGAAGTTTGCACAGCTACATACTCGCCTGAAAATATGTTAAAAGTTTATTTTGTGGCCCAGAAAGAATAATATTTCAAACTTTTTAGCCACGCTCCTCAGCCATTGTTTGAAAAGTATTTTTATATTATTATAAAAATACTATAGTAATTAAATTATTATTCAAAGTATTGAAAAGAGTAATATTACAACTAAGTAGCGGCCGCCATTGTTGGAAACTGGAATTGGCTGCTGTGCTATGAATTCTGGGATATGGTGGTCCACGAAGGACACACCCCACCCATCCTCCAAATCTGGGGAAAAGGAGGACGCATTTGTCTTCGAATTGGGACAGCCTTCGGCGCATCGCTGTGACGTAATCAGCCTTCAAAGGCGGCCCCTGAATTGAGACACAGCCTATGTTTATTTTCAAAATAGTAAAGACAACATAGTTTGATGCCAACAGGTGCATTTCAGACAAATTAGCCACTCGGACGTGCGGAGAATATCCCAACCACGAGACGACCCCCTATCAGCAAGCACCTGGTGACTGTGGGGGGGACCTGCCGCAGGATCAGGGAGGGGCAGCCATTGGCTGAGGGACATGGGACAAAAGACACTCTGTGAAAGAGATTAATAACAACTAATGATTAAATGCAGTGTGAAGAATCCTTAATCAGCCACATTACAACAGGATGGGTCAACAACGAGTTTAAATACTTGGGCCTCTGCCAGTGTTCAGAAACGAAGAAGTCTCTTGGACGGGGGTGAAATGTCTTCACAAACCTAAA